CACGTGGCGCACGGCCGCCTGCGACACCAAGCTGCAGGGCGCCATCTGCAAGCTGGGCGCCGGTGCGTGGACATGGGGCACGCGGGGAGTCACGCGAGGGGGATGTCCCGTCACCAGGGCAGCCCCTCTGAGCTCTGCGGTCTCTGTCCCCTCTGCCAGGCCTCCCGCGGACCCACAAGTGGAGCTACAGCGGCAGCTGCCCCAAGTCGCTGGAGGACTCATCCTGGATCCCCTTCCGGGACCACTGCTACACCTTCCACATGGAGATCACCCTGGGGCAGAAGGAGGCCACGCGGAGGTGCCAGAAAGGTACGTGGGGGTGGCATTGGCCAAAAGGGGGTCTTGCACCCCTAGAAATGGTGGAGGCTGGGTCCCTGGCACGTGGACACAGCCCCCAGGGCGAGCAGCACCTTCAAGAGCATCCTTTGTCCACCCCGGCCCCCGTTCTGGAGTGCTTGGGTGCCCTTCGTGTCTCTTCGTTGCCCAGTTGTTTGGGGCTCTGGCCGGTTGCAGCCCTGGCCGCAGGAGAGCCCTGCGGTCCCGTCCCTGATGCCTCTTCCCTCCCCAGTGGGCGGCACGGTGTTGTCCATCCAGGACGAGACGGAGAACGTCTTCGTGTGGGAGCACCTCCAGGCCTACGAGGGCCCATCCAAGGGTGCCTGGCTGGGCATGACATTCAACCCCAAAGGTATGAACGGAGCTGTGAAGTTTTAGGGTCCATCTTGGGTAATACTGGCCTCTTTGGGGGCTGCCCAGTTTGCTGTGCTCAGTGCCCATCTTCTCCAGGTGGCACCTTGGTTTGGCATGACAACACCGCCGTCAACTACTCCAACTGGGGCCAGCACGACACGGGGCCCAGCATGCTCAGCCAGAACAGCTGCTACTGGATCCAGAGCAGCAACGGCGTGTGGCGCCTGGGCTCCTGCACCAACGTCACCATGGGTGTCATCTGCAAAATCCCCCGGGGTGAGGAGCTCTGAGGTGCTGGGTGGAGTGAAGCGGAGCCGCGTGGTCTCGCTGAGGTGCGGGACACCGCCGGGGCAGACCCCGGCTGGCTGGGTCAGTGACTCGCAGGGCAGGCCGAGCCCCGCGAGGTGACGCTGAGGAGCGCTGGAGCCTGGCGGATGTGCCAGGGTCCCCTGCGGCACCGTGCCGGGCTAGCGGGAGAGGGGACGGGTGCTGTGGCCACGCGCTGATCGTGTCTTCATTCCCTTTGCAGTTGAGGAGAGCAGCTTCTCCCGGTCAGGTGAGTGGGGATTCCAAGAGCAACCAGGGCTGCGGGTGGGAGATGCCCGTCCCCAGGTGCCCCTTGGCCATTGACGAGGACTCGGCAGCCCGGAGCAGCATCCGGCTGGTGGGATCCCAAGGGGATGCCCAGGCTGGTGGGTGTTGGTGCCCCCCGGGAGCGAGGCAGGGAGCCGCTCACCCCGTGTCTCCCCCGCTGCAGCGCTGCCGGAGAACCCGACGGACATCGC